TCCGGGCCGAGCCCCCCGCAGCCCCGGGCCCTGTCCCGGCGGGCACTGACCGCTGTCCGGGCTGGCTCTCCAGCCCGCGATGAAGCACGTTCTGAGCTCGGGCACTGCCAGGGAGCTGTCGGGCACGCAGCCCAGCTGGATGTAGTCGCTGCACTCCACGGGCTGGTCCAGCTGCAGCAGGGCGATGTTGTTCCTGGCCGTGGCCGGGTTGTAGTGTTGGTGCACCAGGAGCCTCAGGATGTGGCGAAGCTCGGCCTCGGGGCCCGGCTGGCTCAGATCCGTGGCTCCGATCACCACTTCCCACCTGGAGGTGTCCCTGAGGAGGAGACGGAGAAAGGATGGATGGAGCAGAGCCACGGGGTGCGGCAGCGCAATTCCCTCCCTGTGCTGGGGGGACATCCCTGACCCTGCTCTGGGGACATCCCTGACCCTCCATGGGGACATCCCTGACCCTCCTATGGGGACATCCCTGACCCTCCTATGGGGACATCCCTGAACCCCGAGTGGGGACATCCCTGACCCTCGAGTGGGGACATCCTTGTCCTTGCTGTGGGGACATCCCTGTCCCTGCTGTGGGGACATCCCTGACCCTGTTTTGGGGACATTCCTGACCCTCCTGTGAGGACACCTTGACCCTTCTGTGGGGACATCAATGACCCTGTTTTGGGGACATTCCTGCTCCCCCTGTGGGGACATCCCTGTCCATGCTAGGGGAACATTCCTGTCTCTTCTTTGGGGATATTCCTGACCCTCCTGTGAGGACATCCTTGACCGTTCTGTGGGGACATTCCTGACCCTGTTTTGGGGACATCCCTGTCTCTTCTTTGGGGACATCTCTGATCCTCCTGTGGGGACATCCCCAACCCTGCTGAGGTAACATCCCTGTCCCTGTCTTGGGGACACGCCCATTCCTCCTGTGGGGACATTCCTGACCCTGTTTTGAGGACACCCCTGATCCCCCTCTGGGGACATCCTTGATCCTGCTTTGGGGACATCCCTGTCTCATTTTTGGGGACATCCCCGTGCCTGCCTCTCCTTACCCAGTCTCCACGAAGCAGTGTGCCACCGTGAGCACCCACTGGGGGTGGATGAGGGCCCCCGAGCACATGTGCCACGTGCCGTTCTCCAGCCGGGCCTGGACGCTGACGATGCCGGGCCAGGCCCCCGGGTGCACCCCGGTGCCACCCCCATCCTGCGAGGCTCCGTCCGAAGGTTTGTAATCGCCGTCCAGAGAATATTCCAGAAGCTCGGAGCTGTGGTCGAAGGCCATGGGCCGGAGTCCGCAGGTCCCTCTGGAAGCACAAAGCCATTGGTGCCCTGCTTGGGGACAGCAGGGACAGCGGGGACAGGGAGCCCCGAGGGGCTCATCCGTGCCAGGACAGCCCCGAGTGTCCCCGAGCCCCCAGGGCCACCGACCTGCAGGTGTCCCACGTGCCCCGCACGGGCCCGGCCAGGGCCAGCAGGACGAGCAGGGCCAGCAGAGCCATCGGTGCCAGCGCAGGTGGCAGAGGCGGAGCGGAGCTGTCACCTCTGGTGGCCCTGGCGGTGCCACCGGCCCGGGCTGATGTCACAGAGGGGCAGCTCAGAGGGTGGAACCTTGGAGTGGTGGCGCTGCCGGGGGGACCTTGGTGACAGCGGTGCCACCTCCCGCGCTGGGCCTGCGCTGGTGGCGCCCCAAAATTAAACACAGAGAGAGCTGCGGCCTTAAATAATTCATCATTAGGGCTCTCGTGGCTTCCCAATCCCATTCCCAATCCCATTCCCAGTCCCATTCTTGATCCCATCCCAATCCCATTCCCGATCCCCTTCCCGATCCCATTCCCGTGCGAGGCTCTGGCCCCATTCCCACCATCCCAGCACCCCCACGTGTTTTTCCAAGTAGAAATTCCCATTCCTGATTCCCATTCCCAGTCCCATTCCCGATCCCATTCCTGCTCAAGGATCTGACCCCATTCCCGCCATCCCACGTGTTTTCCCAAGCAGGAATTCCCATTCCCAATCCAATTCCCAATGCCATTCCCAGTCCCATTCCTGGTCCTGATCCCACTCCCAATCCCATTTCAGATCCCATTCCCGGTCCCATTCCTGATCCCATTCCCGATCCCATTCCTGATCCCATTCCCAGTCCCATTCCTGATCCCATTTCAGATCCCATTCCCGATCTCATTCCTGATCCCATTCCCGATCCCATTCCTGGTCCCATTCCTGATCCCATTCCCGGTCCCATTCCTGATCTCATTCCTGATCCCATTCCCGATCCCATTCCTGATCCCATTCCCACCATCCCCGCTCCTGTTCCCTCCCTGCCCCACCGGGATTCATTCCCAGCTCTGTGGGAATTTTCCTGGCTCCTTTGCAAGCTCCCGGAATTCAGGAATCCTGGAATTTGGGAATCCCAGAATTCAGGAATCCTAGAATTTGGGAATACTGGTATTCAGGATTCCCAGAATTTGGGATTCCTAGAATTCGGGAATCCTAGAATTCGGGAATCCTGGAATTTGGGAATCCTGGAATTCAGGAATCCTGGAATTTGGGAATCCCAGAATTTGGGAATCCCAGAATTCAGGAATCCTGGAATTTGGGAATCCTGGAATTCGGGAATCCTGGAATTTGGGAATACTGGTATTCAGGATTCCCAGAATTTTGGATTCCTAGAATTCGGGAATCCTAGAATTCGGGAATCCTGGAATTTGGGAATACTAGTATTCAGGAATCCCAGACTTTGGGAAGCCTGGAATTCGGGAATCCTGGAAGTGGGAATCCTGGAATTTGGGAATCCTGGAATTCGGGAATCCTGGAATTTGGGAATCCTGGAATTCAGGAATCCCGGAATTTGGGAATCCTGCAATTCTGGAATCCCGGAATTTGGGAATCCCAGACTTTGGGAAGCCTGGAATTCAGGAATCCCGGAATTCGGGAATCCTGGAATTCGGGAATCCTGGAATTCGGGAATCCTGGAATTCGGGAGCAGCCCGCAGGAAGCGGCGCCTTCTCGGCTCTCCCGAAGGAAATCCAGGAATTTTCCTCTCCATGAGGATAAAAAATCCCAAAAAACCCCCCAAAATTCCCAATGGAAATCTCCGGATCCCGAGCAAATGACAAATCCTGGCGCCGCTCCCGGGGACAGCGGGGACCAGGAAGGGACACAAATGCCAGGTGTGGACTTGTCCCCGGGGCCTGGGGACAGGAGTGGGGACAAAGGTGACAGCTCTGGCGGTGACATTGCTGGGTGACACTGCCAGGGTGACATTGCCGGGTGACACTGCCAGGGTGACATTGCTGGGTGACACTGCCATGGTGACACTGTCAGGGTGACACTGCCAGGTGACACTGCCGGGTGACACTGCCAGGGTGACACTGCCAGCTGACACTGCTGGGTGGCACTGCCATGGTGACACTGCCATGGCGACACTGCCAGCTGACACTGCCTGGTGACTCTGTCAGGTGACACTGCCAGGTGACACTGCCAGGGTGACACTGCCAGGGTGACATTGCCAGGGTGGCACTTCCAGGTGACACTGCCAGGGTGACATTGCTGGGTGACACTGCCAGGGTGACATTGCCAGGGTGACACTGCCATGGTGACACTGCCATGGCAACACTTCCAGGTGACACTGCCAGGGT